CCGCCGATGAGGCGTCGTGGATAGTGGAGGAAAAGGTCCCTCAACCTGCGTACCGAGCCAGAAAGACCCGCAACGGCGACTGCCACTTCGAAGACGGCCGTTGCAAGCCCAGAACTTCCTGGGCCGAAATGGCTAAGAGGGGGAACGGGAGGGGAGAGGAGGAGCAGGAGGAAGGGCCAAATGCGGTCCCTGCGCGGTCCAAATGCAGGAAAAGCTGATTTCAGTGTCGCCGCCCAAGGCTCCCATGAACAGACATCGAGCCGAGGGTGCGCAGGAGGAAGGAAAATGCCCCTCCCCCCCTGGGGACACCACGAGGTACCCATACCGCTACTCCTGAACCGGATTGAACCAGATCCGGGCAAGTTGACGCACATGGCGTTCGCCCCCCCCCCCCACCCCCCCACCACCCCAAGCACTCCCGCCTCGCTTGTGCGATGTATTTGCCAGTTGGCTGGAGGCTCGAACTGCCTGCGTCACAGTCGCAGGCGCCGCGGCGCCTGCTCGAGGGTAATTGAAATGGCCGATATGGTCTTCCAGGGTACCGTCTTGGGCCCGACTTTTTGGAATATGTTTTTCAGTGACGCTCGAGAAGCGATTATTGGAATGCTGCTTCAAACAAAAAATTACGCAGACGACTTGAATGCGTTCTGTCCCTTTCCTCTTTCCACCCCTGACGCCGAGGTGTACAATTGTGTGCGACAATGTCAGAGCTGCCTGGCCGAGTGGAGCCGGGCGAACGCAGTCGTATTCGAACCTTCCAAAGAAAACCTGCACATTGTTTCGAGGAGCCGGCCGGCCGGAAGCAATTTTAGAATGTTTGGTATCGATTTAGATCTAAGTTGGTTATGTCAGATGCTGTGCAGAGCTGTGTGCACGAGTGTGGTTGGAGGCTACAGTCGATAATTCGTACTCGCCGCTTCCACACAGACGCCGAGCTAGTCTTGTTGTATAAGGCGCACAGATTATTGTTTATCGAATATCGAACTTGTACTTTCACACGCGCTTCCTGCTCAGTCTTAGCTCCTTTGGATCGGGATCAAAGCTCGTTTCTTCGCAGTGTGGGTATTTCTGAGATCCATGCTCTCCACCATTTTTGTTTCGCCCCTCTGCGCGCACGCAGAGACATTGCGAATCTCGGTCTCATTCACAGAACGATACTTGGCAAGGGGCCGGCTTGTTTGAACGAGTTTTTATTTGTTGACTGAACTCCTCCTCCTCCTCCTCCTCCTCAGCGTCCGCCTCGTCGTCACTTTCGTCACCTTGTTGATCCATGCTCCAGACTATGTTCGTTCTACGTTAGGCGGTGCTGATTTACATCCTTTTCAAACGAATGCTAGCGTGCAAATGCCGTTCGACTTGCGTGATTTCCACGTCAAGTGGTTTGTGGCTTGATTCAGGTAGGGTTCAGGCCCCCCCCCCCCACGTCCATGCAAGTAAGCTTTCCAGAGCCCAAAAGAAAATATGCTCCATCGGACCTCTGCGGGATGCGTTCTGACCAAAGCCTCAAGGCGAATCCCGCGGTGGCGACGAGGGCCTCTCAGGAGGTCCACAAAAGGGGAACACGGACACAGGGCATGGGTGCCTGTGCCCCCTGGTTTTCGGGTCGTAGCTCCGCTCTCCCGCAGCCGTTCGGGGCGATCCGGTCACCCCCGGAACGCTCTCGGCGAGGCGCAGCTGCTGGAGGGCACCCCGAGGCTGGAAAGCCGCCGAGAACAGACGAGAACGCCCGAGAACCGATGATGATGATGACGATGATGACGATGACGATGACGATGACGATGACGATGATGATAATGATGCTGCTGCTGATGATGCTGTTGTTGATGATGATGCTGATGATGAACCCCGCGGTATAATGATGAATCTCCTCCGATCCCCCCCGGCCTGGAGCTCGCCAGCTCCGCCGCGCCCCACGGGGCGCCCGCGCGCGCGGCCCCGGCCCGTGGCCGAACGGGGCAGCCGGGGGCGGGCCGCGGGGGCTGCGGGCGACGGTGCGGCGGGCGTCGTCGTCGTCGTCAACGTCGTCGTCGCCATCGAGATCCGTCGTCATCGTGGGCGTCGTCGTCGTCGCCGTAGCCGTCGCCGCCGTCGTCGTCGTCGTCGCCGTCGAAATATGGCGTCGTCGTCGCCGAGGAAATCCGTCGCCGTTGTCGTCGTCATCGTCGGCGTTGTCGCCGTCGAAATCCGTTGTCGTCGTCGACGTCGTCTTTGCCGTCGTCGTCGTCATCGTCGTCGCCGTCGTCTTCGTCGTCGTCTTTGCCGTCGTCGTCGCCGTCGAAATCCGTCGTCGTCGTGGGCGTCATCGTCGTCGACGTCGTCGTCGTCGCCGTCGTCGTCCGTCGTCGTCGCCGTCACCGTCGTCCGTCGTCACCGTCGTCCGTCGTCACCGTCGTCCTCCGTCGTCGTCGTCGTCGTCGTCGTCGTCCTCGTCGTCGTCGTCGTCGTCGTCGTCGTCGTCGTCCGTCGTCGTCACCGTCGCCGTCGTCGTCGTCTTCGACGGCGTTGTCGTCAGCGTCTGAGGACGTCGTCGTCGTCGTCAGTAGCCGCTTGAGCTCAAGATGGTTTCGCCCCGTGGCAGAGCACAGAGACCCTCGGTCCAGGGCCAGCAGTCAGGACCCGTTTCCCACGCCTTCCTCGCGCCCGCGAGGTCGAGCTTCAGATCCAGCCGCGCAGCGCCATGGCTACTCATCCTCGCGAGTCTCGTGGCGGTGGTGGTTCGTGTGGGCTGGCGGCGGCTCATTCGTTCGCAGACCCTGGCGTGCAGTGTGGCCATGAAGACAGCAGCAAGGAGGAGGCGGAGGCGAGCAGTTACGTGAACAGGAGGCCTTCTTTCAGAAGTGCGGCAAATGGCTCTGCACGGATCGGCCCGCAGTGGAGAGCTTCACGTAAAAATGCGGCCAATCCTCGGGGCTGGTGGGCCTAACAAGCGGAGGAAGTTTCTTCATGGAGGAGGACCAGGCGGCGGACCGAAAGGAGCCAAGCGGCAGCCGCCTTGAGAGGTCTCCCTGGCGCAACTGCTCAAGCTGGCAGCGGCCAAGGCGGACGGCGAGCACAAGCAGCACCTCGGCGAGATCTTGGCAGAAGCAGCCCCAGTACCAGCAGCAACAGTGCAGCACGCTCCGTGCCGCGCTACGGGCTGCTGAGGATCGGGTTCAGGATGCTGGCTGGCTCAAGGTGCTCGACGCGGCGGTGCGCACGCCGACGGACGTGCAATACGCGTGCGCGCGGAACCCGCCGAGGATGCTCGACTACGCGCTGTGCTCCGTGCCCTTCCAGTGCAACCTGAAGGAGGTGGTGTGGGACCAGACGGACCGAGGCGACCACTGCGGCATCGGGCTACATCTTCAAGGAGAGACAGAGGCAACACTGCAGAGAATGCTCAAACCCCCCAGGCCGATGCCCTTACCAGACATGCCGAATTCGCCGGCCCAACGGGCCAGAGGCGTGCTAAGATCTCCGGTAACTAATTAACAATATTTCCGGTTCGCGCGCGCGGAGCGGCCCCTGGGGGCCCCTGGACGAAAAGTACCCCGGCAAGGTCCCGGGAAAAGCCACCAGAGCGCTCCAGGGGAGGGCCATTTTTCGACACCCCTCACGAGGATCGTGGCCTCCGAGGGGGGAGCCGCAATCGACTACCCCCCCCTCCCGCCCCAAGAGGCCCTTAAAAGCCCCCCAAGAGGCCCTGGGGGCCCCCAAGACGCCGGCAAGGAGCCCCAAGAGACTCCCAAGAGGTCCCCAAGAGGCCCCCAAGAGGCCCTAAAGAGGGCTCCAGGGCCGGCGTAATGAGCGAAGCGATCAAATGAAAAAGAAGCCAGACCCCAACAGCAAGCGATCAAAGCAGAAGGCGAAGAAGGAGCAGCAGCACAGCTTCAACGAGGGATTAGAGTGCGAAGCGGAAAACTCGGAGCTTCCGACTCCTGCGCTGCCCGCCCTTCCAGGTGGGAGCGGCGATGGGTTTGAGCCCGTCGGCCGCGATGACCTGCCCAATGGGGGCAGGACCGTATACGGCGAGATGGGGGACCTGTTCGGCGGCTGCGAGGCCAGCGAGGATGACGGCGAGGTCCGCGACTACGGGCGAGCAGGAGGCCGAGCAGGAGGTCAAGCGCACGGCCGAGACGGTCTTTGACACCCCAGTGGAGCAGCGCGACGCCACCCGGCAGCTCAAGATCGAGCAGGCGCAGCGGGAGGACCGTCGTTCCTGGAGGTCTCCGCCCGACCACATCAAGGGAACGGCGTCGTTCCAGTTCGATCCGTTCGGCGCCTACAAGTTAGCCGCGCAATCCTGAGAGTAGGTTCATGCTACCGAGCAGTAATACATGGGCTTGTTGAAAGGTCGAGCCCACGCAGAGGAGCAAGCTCAGAGGGCGTAGTGAAGCCGTTTGCTTCACCACAAGGGCCACGCGCATGAGTAGCAACGTCGCGTGCGAGATGGGCCCTTCTATCTCATGGTGGGGCACGCTGTCGTCCTACCTGGTCGAGCTGCAGCGCTGCGAGGGGAAGGGCCCTGCGGGCAGCGCCTCCTGGCTCGCATCAAGGCCATGAGCGGGTCGATTTCCAGCGGCGGCATCGTCAAGATGACGGGCAAGCAGAAGCGTAAGTGGAGAGCGACCTTGTGCGGATCAGAGGTTTGAACACCGCGCAACTTCAGTGCCTCGGAGTCGCAACCCTGACCACGGCCAGGAAGGGCAACCGCGAGGGGGTGAAGGAGGTGCAAGACGCTGGGCGAGCTGCGGAGAAAGGGCGAGCGCGACAAAGTGGGAGCGCACCTTGCGACCATGACGGGCGGGGTCTGGCCAAGGCAGCGCGTGGCGGATCTTGGCATCGAGATCAAAGACGTCATTCGCCCGAGGTGCGGCGAGGCAGCTGAAACTTGGCAGCACCGCATGTGGGAGTGCAGATGCAACGAGACGCTGGAGGGCTGCCAGAAGTCGCAGCATCTGGTGGAGGTGGAGAACTAACCGCGTCTGTGGCTGAGAGGCACTTTGCCCAAGAACTGGACGATGGTCAAGCCCCCGCCAGAGCCGGGCGAGGAGCTGTGCGAGAGGATCGGCGTCACGGCGAAACTGGACGGCGACGAGTGGCTCAGAACGGCAGGCGACGCGTCGGGAGGCGAGTGCACCATGGACCCGAGGATCAGGAGAATGGCTCGGGGCTAGGTAGTCTTCCGCACCCTGGACGCTAGCGAGGCCATGGTCGTTGCAGGAGGACGTGGTGCCCTGTCAGGATGGCGGCAGAGCGTCAAGAGGGGCGAGCTTATGGCCCTCAAGGACGTGCTCAAAGCGTGTTGCGGCTTCAGAAAGATCAGGTACACCGCGGACTCGTCGTACGTTGTCAGAGGCGTGGCGAAGCTGCAGGCAGGGAAGATGCCGAAGACACACGTTGGCCTGTGGAGCGCGATGAAGCACAGCATCGAAGACAAGCAAAGCAGCTGGTCTTCGTGAAGGCCGAGAGCGTCCTCAGCGCGCAGGAGGCGCTGCAGGCTGTTGTCAACCCGATCCACCGGTTGGGCAACTCGCTGGCGGACGGCATCGTGGACGACATCATGGAGCAGGTGCAGGTGCCGTGGGCACAGGTCAAGTCGGTCGGCTTCGCCGAAGGTATGGTCGGGCTGATCAGGGACCGCGCCTCCGCCACTCTCATGGCCTCCAATGAGATCGAGCCGTCCCAAGCGCCCAGCGTGAAGATCAGAAAGGAGGCCTACACCAAGAAGAGAAGCTGGGCGAAGCTGCTCGCAGAGACGAGGCACAGCATCGCCTACGACGTGAGCGTGAAGCACTACAGCCGATTGAGGCGTGGCTCGAGGGTGCTCATGTCGGCTGCAGACGCGTGGTTGGCAGGAGAGTACAGGGCCGTGGTCAGGACCGGCACGGCGCCAAACGTAGCAGGCCGCAGGTCGGGAACCAGGAGGCGCCCGAGAGCCACACCGTCGTCTTCGACGGGGCGCTGAAGCTGCACTGCTGCACGAAGTGTGGGTGCATCGGCAGAGAGGACGTGCGCAAGCACGTGGCGAGGTGCGACGAGCAGGCGAGACAGATGGGCAGGCAGAGCCTGTCACGCATCAAGAAGGCGCCCCAGCCACTCCTCCTCCTCCTCCTCCCTCCTCCTCCTCCTCCTCCTCCTCCTCCTCCTCCTCCTCCTCCTCCGGATTCCTGACAGCCTGAGGGCTCGAGCGCGCTCGCCGAGGAACCAATGCGAAGAAGCTGAGCACTCGGAGCTGATGGTTGCGAACCGTTTGCGCGCAGCCTCCGCCCCGACTGGGCCCAGGCTGGGCCCGAGGCGCCGTCGGCCCCGTCGCCGCCGTCGGCGGCGGCGGGCGGCGTCGTCGGCGTGATCGCCGTCGTCGTCGTCGTCGTCGCCGACGTCGTCGTCGTCGTCCTCCGTCGTCGTCGCCGTGGTCGTCGTCGTCGTCGTTGTCGTCGTCGGCGGCGTCGTCGTCGTCCGTCGTCTGTCGTCCGAAGTCGTCCGCGTCGTCGTCGGCATCGCCGTCGTCGTCGCCATCGTTGCCGTCGTCGTCGTCGTCGTCGTCCATCGTCACCGTCGTCGTCGTCGTCGGCGTCGTCGTCATCGTCGCCGTCGTCGGCGTCGTCGTCGGCGTCGTCGCAGTCGTCGTCATCGTCGTCGTCGTCGTCGTCGTCGTCGTCGTCGTCGTCGTCGTATCATCGCCCTCGCAGTCTTCGTCGCCTTCGTAGTCGTCGTCGTCGTCCGCCGTCGCCGTCGTCGTCGTCGTCGTCGTCGTCCGTCGCCGCCGTCGTCACCGTCGCCGTCGTCGTCGCCGTCGTCGTCGGCGACGTCGTCGTCGTCGTTGTCGTCGCCAACGTTGTCGACGTCGTCGCCGCCGTCGTCGTCGTCGTCGCCGTCGTCGGCATCGTCGTCGTCGTCGCCGTCGGCGTCATCGTCGTCACCGTCGTCGCCCATCGCTGTCGCCGTCGCCGTCGTCGTCGTCGTCGTCGTCGTCAACGTCGTTTACATCGTCGGCGTTCGTCGTCGTCGTTGCCGTCGTCGTCATCATCGTCGTCGTCGCCGTCGCTGTCGTCGTTGCCGTCGTCGTCGTCGTCTTCATCGCTCTTCTGTTGCAGTCGTCGTCATCGTCGCCAAAGTCGTCCGTCGCCGTCGTCACCGGCGTCGGCGTCGTCGCCGTCGCCGTCCGCGTCGTCGACGTCGTCGCCGTCGTCGTCGGCGGCGCCCGTCGTCCGTCGTCGTCGTCGTGGTCGTCGGCGGAGGCGGCGGCGTCGTCGTCGCCGTCATCGGCGTCGTCGTCCGTCGCCTTCGTTGTCGCCGTCGCCGTCGTTGTCGTCGTCGTCGTCCGTCGTCGTCATCGTCACCGTCGACGTCGTCGACGTCGTCGGCGTCGTTGTTGCCGTCGTCGTCGTAGACGTTGGAGTCGTCGGAGTCGTCGTCGTCGTCGACATCGTCGTCGTCGTCGTTGTCGTCGTCGCCGCCGTCGGCGGCGGCGGGCGGCGTCGTCGCCGTCGGCGTTGTCGCCGTCGTCGTCGTCCGTCGTCGTCGGACGTCGTCTTCGTCTTTGTAATCGCCATCGTCGTCATCGTCATCATCATCGTGGCCATCACCGTCATCGCCGTCGTCGTCGTCGTCGTCGTCGCCGTCGGCGTCGTCTGCGTCGACGACGTCGTTGCCGTCGTCAGCGTCGTCGTCGCCGCCGTCGGCGGCGTCGGCGTCGCCGCTGGCGTCGTCGTCGTCGTCGTCCGTCGTCGTCGTTGTCAACGTCCGTCGTCATCGTCGCCTGCGTCGTGTCGTCGCCTTGGTCGCCGCCGTCGTCGTCGTCGTCGCCTTCGTCGTCGTCGTTGTCCGTCGTCGTCGTCGTCGTTGACGTCGTCGTCCGTCGTGGTCGTCGTCGTCGTTGTCGTCGTCGTCGTCGCCGTCGTCATCGTCATTATCGACGTTGTCGCCATCGTCGTCGTCGTCGACGCCGCCGTCGCCGGCGGCGGCGTCGTCGGTCGTCGTCGTCGTCGTCGTCGTCCGTCGTTGTCTGCGTCGTCGTCATCGTCGTCGTCGTTCGCCGTCCGTCGTTCGTCTTCGTTCGTCGTCCATCGTCACCGTCGTCGTCGTCGTCGTCGGCGTCGTCGTCTTTGTCGTCGTCGCCGTCGTCGTTGCCATCTTGTCGGCGTCGTCCGTCGCCGTCGGTCCGTCGGAGCTCAGGACAATGGGCGTTGCCGGGGGGTGAGAGGACCCAGACCTCCTCGGTCATGGAAAATTGCGACGGGTTTGTTTTTTCCCTTACGTATGTGTATATATAGGGATACATTTTCGGCCTCTGGGGGCTCTGACCCGGCCTCTCGACTGTCAAAAAACGACTCAGCACACAAAGCTGGTCCCAGGGAAAGGGTCGGGACTTCTGGGGATCCCGAGTCGACACAAAAAAATGATCGGGTCTCTGGGGCGGCTGTGGTCGCCGTCGATGCCTTCGTCGATGGTCGTCGACCGTCGCTGGTCGCTGGTCGCTGGTCGCTGGTCGTCGTCGTCGTGGTCGGTCGGTCTGTCGGCCTATGTCGTTCGGTCGTGGTGGCTGTCGTCGGCACTGGTCGTCTGTCGTCGTCGTAGCCGTCGTCGTCGTTCGTCGGTTGTCGGTCGCGGTGGTCTTGGTCGCCGCCGTCTTCGCCGCCGCAGGTTGTCCGACGAGCCGGGAAGCTCCGGGGGGGCTCTCCTGAAGGTTTTGGAAGTCTCGACGGGAGGCTCTGCGTCAGGAGCCCCGGGCCCGGGAGGCGATTCTGAGGCCCCGACGCGGGGACTGAGATTGAGAACGCGCCCTTTCATTCATCGATGGCCTCCAAGTGGGCCCCCATGGTCCCCAAGAGGGCCACAAATAGATCCCAAGAGGGCCCGGGGAGGGCCTCGAAGGCTTACAAAGTGGCCCAGAACTCATTCCAAGAGGCCCCCGAGCTCTCGAATTCCACAATTGTTGGCAGCCTTTTGTTTACGCCTCGCTTCCAGGCAAGTCACCATGGGCATCTTTTATGGATGGGCTGGTGGTACGCGAAGCGTCAAGAACCCCTTACACGTAGTCCTTGACTCCAGGAAATTGCACCAATGACCATCGGCAACCACCACAGCATCTACCCCAAACCCTACACTCATGTTCTCCTGTTCTCGTTGTCTCTCTGTCTCCCCCGCCTTCCTCATCTGCCCTCCTGCTCCTACTACTCCGTTCTCCTTTTCCTCCCTAGCAATCGCGAAGAAGGCCCCACACGAGGCCCGACAGGACGAACATCATGTAAGCTTCCTCCTCCCTCTTTCTCGTCCTCCGCCTCCTCGTCCTCCCATATTTGCGAGACCAAAAGAAAACAACATCCCCAAACCTCTGGCGCCGTATGAACCACCCGATGGCAGGCTGTATGCAACACCCGGACCCCGTTCGGAAGCTGAAAAAGCAAAGGTTTGCCAGAGTGAGTAGTCCCCAGACAGGAAGCGCTTGCGCCGTGGATGTGCAGGCTATGAGCCATGTGGTGCAAGCGGTGCGGCGGAGGCTGTGCGGTGCAGAGCCTGTGGAGGGAGCCGGGCGGACCCTAAACGGTGTCGGCAGCGCAGCGGCCATGGGCGGCGACGCGGCAGACACCTCGGCGGACCCCACCAAGGAGTGGGCGGCGACCGGGCGGCGACGCGGCGAAGCCCGGGCGGACCAGGCCAGCAGTCCACCGGGGCGGCGGCGAGGCGGCCACGAGGGGCGGTCCCGGGCGGCGACGCGTCGGCGGACCTCCCGAGCGGGCGGCAGCGAAGCGGCGGCGGGGCGGCCGCGGGCGACGACGCGGTGGGACCTTGGCGGATCCCCCCCCGAATGGGCGGCAGCGCGGCGGTCACGAGCGGCGCCGAGGCGAAGCTTCGGCGGAGCCAGCCGGCGTCCTGGTGAGAGAAGTGATGGCCCCCAAGTGCAAGCACGAATTGGGGAGGTACTTGTCCTCCAGGGGGCCTTTGAAGGAGCACCCCCCAGGAGCCACCACCAGAGCCCCCCGAACGCGGAAGAGCAGAGGTCCGCATCCTCCGTCTGGTCCTCCACCTCATCGTCCTTCTCCCCCCTCTTCTCCTCACCCGTCCTATTCACCCTCCTCCTAGCGTGGGAGCGCGCGCAGGGATGAAGGGGGAAGGAGGAGGACATGGAGGAAAGAAGAGGGGAGGAGGGACGACAAGGAGTAGACGAGGGGAACGGAGAGAAGGAGGAACCCGACGACGACCACGACGACGACGACGACGACGACGACGACGACGACGACGACCTCCCGGAACGCAGAAAGGAAGGACGAAAACTTGAACCGCGACGTCGTGATTGTTTCGCGACGACACCGGGAGGGCTCGACCCCTTCCCCAGGCCTGGGCTTCCATCGCGAGCCCACTTCTTGGGCCCAAGGACCCCGCAAAGGACCCTAGAGCCCAATATGTGTCGAGACGGTTCCGCCGTGATTTATTGAAGGGGCCCTGGGGCACACAAATGAATGAACACAAATAATAGGATTCCCAATCTTTTCCCATATTTTCTGGGTTTCCCATATTTTCACATATTTTCTGGGGAATCGACGATTCATTGTGTCTGCGTGTTTTTGTCCCTCCCGCCGTGATTTGCTCACAAAGCGACGATGGTGCGGCTCTCGGGCCGCAACTCGGGCCCCTGGCGATCGCTCGGAACGATCCGGGTGCCCCGCAACGCTCTCGGCGGGACGCAGCCGCTGGACGTATCCTGCGGCTGGGAAGGCGCGCGGTGAAAACTGGCAATCCTGAGGCCGGACAGCGGGCAGCCTGAAGCAGGAGGAGGGCGGAGGGCCGCAGCAGAGGGGCAACACGTGGCATGAGCCTCAACGTTCGGAGGTCCGCGCTGACTTCTTTCTTTCTTGGATCGGCGCTGGACCTCCCTCCCTGGCGCGCGGAGCACGCCTTGGCGGCGAGGCGCCGGAGGCGCCGCCAGGGGGGGTCCAGCGCCGATCCGAGAACTCCGCGATGAATGAGGTGCTGTTTGTGTTTATGCGCTCATGGCCAGTGAACGGAGCTCCGCGAACAACGGTCCGAAAATCAGTCGGGCTCAGGACGGAATCAAATCCTTCAAGAACATGAGACCCTCCGCC